TTAACAAATCTGAAATTAAATCCATCTGGGCCTGGAGCTTTGGAAGAATCACAATTCCAGATTGCTTCTTTAATCTCCTCTTCCGAGAATTTAGCTGTAAGGATTTCATTATCAGCTTGTGATATTTGATTGAAGCTAATCCCATCCAGCTTTGGTCTCTGCCATTTCTCTTTTGTGAACAAATCCTGAAAGTATTCAGCTACCTTTTCTTTTATCTCCATCACCCCTGTGTGCTGTTCCCCATTGATTCGAATAGAATTAATTTCGTTTCTTCTCCACCTTCCCTTCACGCATCTATGAAAAAATTTAGTGTTCGCATCTCCCTCTCTCAACCACATCTTTCTTGACTTTTGTTGCCATATCCTCTCCTTAATCCTTAGATTCTTCCATAAATCAACAAAGCTAATTCTCCTCTTTTCAATAAATGAATTAATACTATTGGTTTAGGCATTTCATTAAACAATTTTAGGGCATATTACATAATATCAATACAACAGAAACTAGACCAAGCAAGAACACAAATCATGAATCATAAATCAAAGGATGCAAAAAATCTGCAAACTAAGAACTTAGAGCAGTGATTGGAGAGTGGGACTTTAGTCGAGAATTACCTGGGTTTTTGTTGGTTCGGATCCATGAAGGATCCGTGTGTTTTTAAGAAAATTTACTTCCCAAATTTTTATGGAATTCAATTTTTTGAATAGGAAAATGTATTTTACATGTCATTTTCTTATTTCTTCTTAAAAAATTTTGTTTAAAAATTAATTTTTTAGATAATATTTTTAAAAATTAATAGTTTGATTGAAAGTTTTATTTAAATAATTAAATTATGGATGGTAATTTTTAAATTATTTTAATAGACATAATTAGTTTTTTATTATAAAAAATTTAATACAAAAATTTAACACTGTTAAATATATATGTTAGTAAATAAAAATTTTTGATTAAAAAGTTTTTAATATTAAATTAATATAAAAATTAAAATGTATTATTTAAATGAATAAAGTTTTTAATTTAACAATTGATTTTTAAAAATATTAACTAAAAAAAATAAACTTTTGGACATATTTGCTAAGAAGATCTGTAAGAGGACGACCTAATCATATTCTCTTCTAAAAATGGGTAACAGTATTTTTTGCTGATTGAAAAAAGGATTTTCAAATATCAAAAAATGTGAAAAATAATTTTTGAAAGATATTTTTTTGTGAACCGAATGGATTTTTGATTTGTTTGCTTTTTGGCTAATTCTTCATTTCTCTTGTTGACATGGGATCATTTAATTTGTATTGAGGGCCAAATCTGATAATTTTCGTTTTCATATTTTTGTGATCTTCTGTTATGTGCAGGCAAATTGCCCTTTACACTGGTCCAACAGGTAATTCTCCGTTTAATTATTGACATTTTTCTTCAGGCGTTTGAAGGGCTGGGCTTATAACCCAATGTTTTTGTTAAAACTACTAATTTTATTGTAATTTTATTAATTTATAAATTTTAAAATAATTATTATAATATTTAAATATATATTTATAAATTAATTTTAATTTATTAAATATTAAATATTTTATTAATTATTAATTATTTTTAACTATTAACTAAATTAAAAACTCAATTAGTAACCCTAGTGGCCTAATAAAATTAATAATGAATATAACCACAGCCTGTTTCAAGATGCAAGCTGTTTTAATCCATGGTGGGAAAAGTAGAAGAGGAAAAACAAAAAATACTGATTGGAAATTTTGTTCCTAGTATTGTAAAAGAGGTTTTTCTCAAATGTGGTACATGTTAACAATATAATTAATATATTTTTATATTAATTTATATTAAAAATTACAAAAATAAATTTTATTTTTAATATTAATATCACATAAATAATTTTAATTAAACAAAAAATAAAAATAAAATTTATTTTTATTTTTTATATAAATTAATAAAAAATACAATAAATATTTTCTTAGTTCGTACTCTAAATATGCAAATTTTAAAAAAAAATCCTTATTAAAGGAACCCAGAAGGCTGAAAAGATACCAACTTTTGTTCAGATATCATTTTCAAGTTGCTTCATAAATTCTTAAAAATGATTGTAACCAGTCAACAAATTATTGAAGTACTTAAAATTTTAAATTTTATCTTTTAAAATATTAATTTTGTTTAGTTCAACAATAGAAACAGTTAATAATTGTAATTATTAATTTAAAATAACAAAATAATTTATATTTATTATTTAACAAATTAAACTTAGTCTACACATTGATATTTTTAAAGGGGTTCATATTTTATAATCTAAATTATACATCAAAAGTACATTGTAATTTATAAATTTATTAAGTTATCCAAATGAAAATGAAAAATGATTGATACACCCTCCAATTAAATACACTCATTAAAAATTATTATTTTCAAATTTGAATTTACGGTGAAAAAAGTTCGAAAAGCAAATTTTAGTGATTAAATCAGTGTATTGTGCAGTGTATTGAATCAAATAATATATCAATCATTGTCCAATGAAAATATTTCTTTTGTTATTTTATTAAAAATGATTTAATAAATTCACATTACTTTTAATGTGCAAATTACCTATAATATATTTTTTCGTGTTTTAAATATTATAATTGACTATTTATGGACAAAAAATTTTGGGTGGCTCTAATAATTCATTGCATGACCATAAACATTTCCCACTTTTCCTCTTGCTTGTCTATTAGTTAGTAGTATCAAAGCGATAAATCCTGAAAGGATACGACATAATACATCATCTATACTCGTAAGAATTTTTTGTTTTACTCATGGATTGCATTAAATCAGAAAATATAAATTATAAGATAAAAAATAATCTTAAATATTAAGAAATTCAATGACAAATGTTATACAATTAAATGCAATTTATACTGCAGGATACCTTTTGCCTTTTATAATCTTTTTTTTTTCGAATAATCACTATTGCCTTTTCATGTTGTAGGGGTGGGGAAATGGTTGATTAATTGAATGGTTAATTGAAAATTAATTAAAAAATAATCAAATAATAAGATGTAATTGGTTTTTGATTTTTTTTTTTTTTTGGTTTTGGTTGTAACTTAATTAAGAATTCAATTAATTATTGGTTAGGGGTTGAAAAATTGAAAACTGAATGAATAGTGATTGGTACATACTTGGTTCAACGCACTGCATAATATATTCATTAAAAAATCACTATTTTTTGTTTAAAATTAAAAGTAAATAAATTTAAAAATACAATCATACACAAAGGATGTAAGAACCGACTGAATCAACTGTATTTATATTATATGTTTACTAGTTGAACCGAAAGTATGTTAAAAAATGAATTAAACCAAATGCATACCAATCATTTTCTAAACTGAATATATAACTGAAAAATAAAATTTTATAATAAATAAATAATTATTTTTTGAATATTTTAAATATAAAATTCATCCTATTCAATTACTTTTTCAAGTATTACTTTATAAATTTTGTTATAATATAGACTTTAAATTTAAAATATATTTAGAAGTTAAAAAAATAAAAATTTTATATCTTACTTTCATTTATTTATCATTTTTATTTTATTTTTATATTTAATAATTGGTTAAAATTGAAACCAAACTTATAATAACCAAAATTTCAAATAACCAAACCAAAAATAACATATATTTTGGTATTGCTTTTGGTACTCTTAATTAACTAATTAGTCTCTGTTTTAATTAAGACCGAAACCGAGATCTGCCCACCCTACGTACCATCTTGAGACAATTGTTGTTTGTCTCCTTGTGTGGGCGATTGGCATCTTTAGTATTGTTAATTTGAATTGACTTCTTAAACGGTTAATTTATATTGCTTTTTGTGGAATTAATTGATCACATTGGTTATATTATTTTGAAGTGGGAGGGCTGTTGAATGTAACATGTGGCAATGCTACTGAGCTGATCATAGCAATTTTCGCGCTGGCTCAAAGCAAAACAGATTTGGTGAAGTATTCCCTTTTGGGCTCTGTACTAGCAAACTTGCTTCTGGTTCTTGGGACCTCTCTCTTTTGTGGAGGAATCGCCAACCTTAGAAATGAACAAAAATATGATAGGGTAAGTCATGGGGATATATATATATATATATATATATATATTTGATAAAAGTATTACCCTGCTATATATGTTAGACAAGAAACTATACTTTGTCATATATGTTAGATAGGAAATATAAAGTGCGTCAAAAAGGGCATGTGACACTAATATAAAGAGCAAATATTAATGACGTATAGGGCAATTAAGCATGGAGAACATCTAAATATCTATCATAGGGGCATCAATAGAGTTTTGTAAAGATCGAGAGATTATTTTAGAACTTTGTATTCACTATTGATAATCACATTTATTTACCATCCAATTTTAACTTGGGAGATTAGAAGACATGGTGATGTAGTGTCCCCCAAAATTATAATGCTTTGTCAAGACAAATGAATTTCTATTCTACAGATGGATGAAAAACATCCACCTACATTGCCACCACATTACCTGAGTCATCAAGCCTCACCTGAGGCACCTTTCCATCTTTGAATGCACCCGAACCCAACTTCACCTTCCTTTTCCCCTCTTTTTTCTTACTTGAAGATAGGACCAAACCCTTTCCAAATCTTTTCCAAGTCTTCCACGAAGGTGGTGAAGAGGCAGATCTCCAGGGATGGAGGCTTATGCCTGCTACTCTAATGAGCCATTAACCAACTATGTTAATTTGTTTGCTTGTTTCCACACCTTCTTACTAGTAGATTTCTATTCTTTGTGGACTAGCTAGTTTTCATAGAATAATTGTCTTTTAGCCACTCCAACCTCTTTGTGATCTTGGTTCCTAATTAAGGACTCCCCTTATAGTGAAAAAGTGAACTAGTGTTCCCTATTGATTGAGAGATCAACTCTTGAAGACAACAATTTACTATTAGAAAAGTTATCTCCTTAAAGATCTTTGAACACCAAAAATTTTCATTATGAGCCCTCAATCATGTTCCATAAGGTTGAGAGACTTTCTTGCCAACCTTTTTCAATCTAAAACCTATTGCATAGTCAGAAACCACATATGCCCCATCCATCCACAAATAAAACAAAACTGTAATGGTCTTTCATACTTGATCCAAAGTCTTCGAGTTTCTATGGTTGAGACTCTCACATTATTAAAATGTCTCAAAGGACTACTCACTTTAAGTTGAATTCTAACAAACAGTGCTCTAGTAAAAGTTAGTCCTTAAGAACCTTCCTCATACTACCTCTTTGCCTTGCTATCTCACCATGGAGTTTGTAGGAAAGTCTGTAGAATAACACCCAAAAAGGTGATGTTGAGAAATCATAATTTTCTAGGCCAATGATTTATCAAAGGACAATGATTGGTACACCTTCCAGTTCAACATATTACATAATACACTTTGATTCAACCATTAAAATTTGCCTTTGAAAATTTTCCTACTATAAATTCAAAATTGAAAATAATAATTTCTTAATGAGTGCTGTAAAGTATATTGAATCAGAGAGTGTACCAATCATTTTCCTTTATCAAAACATTGTAATATGGTCAAGGAATGATTGAAGTTCCAAGGTGTTTATTGTAATATTCTATCCAAATCATAACTATTTGAAAATTGAAACAGAAAAATTCTCTCACCTAGTTCCTTGACTTGCACATCAGATTGAGGATGCAATTGCACTTTGTAGGCTTATAAGATTAACACTTTTATGTGTATGGATCTTCCTAATCAGGCATAGCAATTCAGTAGTGATCAATGAATTGTTCCAGGTGCTTTCAAGGGAGAGCTCAATTTTCTCTTCCTTTGACTAACAGATTTGCCCTAAAAGAGAACCAAGATCTTCAACTTCCGTTGTTGGGTATGTTGTTTAATGCATGCTACCCTGCCACTATCCCAGTAGGACATCGTTGACATTCTTGAGGACTTATAGCCTGCGAGAAGGAACTAACCTAGAGCAGCATGGTCGATGGAGAGGAAGAAACTATGCAGTGCAGTGTGATTGATGAGGATGGCACAAGGAGGTTGCGACTAATGGAGAGGAGGAGGTGGGCTGTGGGCGCTATCTATTTTGCCACTGAGAGAGAAGAAAAGAAAAAGAGGGAACTCCAAACAAGAAGAGAGAAAACCCTACAGAGAGAATTTAATCTAACCCTAGTTAGGAGGCAGTTTTGATTACGTAAAGATTAAATTAGAACAACTAATAGTCATTGATAAAATTAAATATACTAAAGTAACTTAAACATTTTCTTTTGTCCTTGTATCTCATCAAATATTAAGGATAAGTTAATAATTTTGTTCACACACGCTACAAATTAACATATTGAAGATGTGGATTTACTTTAATAATTTATGTGGATTATAAGTAAATCTGGTGTTATCATGTATTAACATTCCTATGACTGATGAATGACAGACACAAGCACAGGTGAACACACTTATGCTGCTGCTGGCGCTGTTGTGCCATATTCTGCCACTGTTGTTCCAGTATGCTCCGTTATCAGACGCACAGGCAGCTTATCCAACACTTCATTTATCCAGAGCAAGTAGCATTGTAATGCTGATTGCATACCTTGCTTTCCTGGTCTTTCAACTGTTCACTCGCCAGCCGTTGTTTGAAGCTCAGGAGGTAGTCCTCAGTTATCTTTAATCTAATTCCAAATGGATACACACAACTGTCCATAGATGGTTCCAAATTCAACATTTCTTATGATGGAATGAAAATTACGTGATTAATTAGCTTAGTTTGTTTTTGTTTGATGTGATGCAATTGATCAGGAAGATAATAATGATGCTGATGATGTGATATCAGAAGAGTCACCAGTGATAGGATTTTGGAGTGGATTTATTTGGCTAGTTGGCACGACTGCTGTAATATCTTTGCTGTCTGAGTATGTTGTGGACACAATAGAGGTAAAATTAGACCATTCCCATATTAATTTGAAGGATTGTTAAAAGAATAATCATTTTAATTTTTTTTTTATAGAATAATTGTTTTTAATGTTAAACCAACAATATGCAAGTGGTTATATACCAGGCGGCTTCGGAATCTTGTGGTATTTCTGTGAGCTTCATGAGCATTATCTTGCTACCTATTATTGGAAATGCAGCCGAACATGCAGGAGCCATCATATTTGCTTTCAGGAACAAGCTGGTGAGTATGATACAATAACATTTATTTTCTATTAGTTGGGGTTAGTGTAGTGCATGTTATCTTTTCAAATTTTTTTAGAGGATTTGTTAAAAAGTTTATTAACTAATTAATATTTTCAAAAATTAATTATTAAATTAAAAGTTCTAAATATGTAAATCATGCATATTAATTCTCATATTAATTTAATTAATATTTATAACTCTTTGATCAAACAAACTCTATTTAATTAGTAACATATATTAACGACATTAAATTTTGTCTAATCATGAATTAGTTAGGCTTATCAAATTAATCTAAAACTTGACATGCATAATTTATATAAATAAAACTTTTAATCAAACAATTAGTTTTTAAAAACATTAATTAGAAGAGAATGACCTCAAAACAAATTTTCCTTGTTTGCTTGGTAAATTTGCATTGTATCTCTTTCATCAATAGAAATAATTAAGTTGACAGTCTAACTTTTTTTTTTTTTTTTTTTTTTTTACCTCAAATGAACAGGATATTTCTTTAGGTGTAGTATTGGGGTCTGCAACACAAATTTCTTTGTTTGTGGTAGGAGTTACTCTTGAAGCTTCTGATGGCTATCCTCAGAAAGACAACCCTCATAGTTTTGAGTTTTGTTCTTTACCATCATTTTAATGTGACCAGGTACCACTAGCTGTGGTTGTTGCTTGGATAATGGGTACTAATATGGATCTTAACTTCAATCTCCTCGAGACTGGCTCTCTTGCTCTATCAATCATCACTGTAGCCTTCACTTTACAGGTACCCTCCTGGTCATGAATTTGCCACTCATGACTACCCTTTGATATTCTTACCAGTTTATTGTTGTTAATTTTCGAGTAATTGATCCTTAATTTGTAAAATGTGCGGAGGCTAAATTAATTGTCGATTTTGTAGGATGGGACTTCTCACTACATGAAAGGACTGGTTCTTCTACTCTGTTACTTTGTTATTGGAGCTTGCTTTTTTGTTTTAAGAACCCCACAAGGTAAGAATTATACCATTCAAAACTATCTACGCGTGATCACTACAAGAGGTATTTCATCATCAACTCAGGCCCAAATCTTAATTAATTTGTTCTCTTCCATTTTCTCCACAGACCTGCCAAAAAATGTTTTACACACGGGACACAAATCAGCTGAGGCATTCTTCAGAGCATAAAAAAAGAGGTGAGTTCATTCAAATCAACTAATGCCTTATTATTATTATTATTATTTTAGTATATTTGGTTAGGTGTCTTGATCAGATTAGTTTTTATGCATTTCAATACTAATCTTGTCTAGAAAATCTTAAGAGTAAATTTCTCACATTGATCTTATATATTTAAAGAAATTAATTTTTTTAAATACTGATTTTAAAATTTGAATTTTGAATGTGATTTATAAAATAAAACTTATTTAATAATAAATTTAACCCGTGAAGTTAACTTGTGCCAATTTAGACATCTTTCCAAACATAATATAACTGGAAATTAACAAATGTCATTGTCATAAATGCAGTCTTCGCCCTTTTTGGTGTTATTCCTGGATGACAAATGTTGTGGAAAATTGAACAAATTTC